GGGTTTTCACACAGCTGAATAAACATCAAACAGAAAACTGATTAAACAGAAGTGTGAGACGGTCGAGAGTTTAAGTCAGCGCCCGGTTATATTTTAGATAGCAAGGAGAAGACGGCAACATTTCACTCTACCGAGGAAGCTCGTGACGTACTACCCGGCTTTCTTTAGAAAGGCCGGGTCCTGAGGTGGAAGCAGCCTCTGAATTTGGACACCCCCGCTGTTTCCAGGCCAGGTACATTGGGTAGGATGTTTTTCCAGGTAGGATAGATTCCCAGAACACCGGCCAATAATAACGGTGACATTATCTAGAATCGATTCTAGAACATAAATGATTGGTATCGGAGGAATCGATATTTCAGGATCGATCCGCACATCACTAGTTAGCAGGAAGTTAGCTCGCTAGTTTCCACCTAAACATGATATAGCATGTTCTGACTGAGAGATTTCTGAAAAAATTAGTTACTTTTGTAGGGTTACTGAAGTTGGACTAGCTGGTATATAATGATGTGCTACGTGATCACTAGCGACACAGCTATGTTAGCATAACATAAACACAGGGAAGCTGGAGGATGATAAAAGTTAAAGTGAGGGTTCCCGATGATTAGGGACCAATGCAATGGCATGGCAGGATGCTGTAAATGGACCAAACTTCAGTCAGGAGAACAACTGAGATAATCCATCCACAATACGAGGTTAGTCATTCATATACTGCAACAAAATGGGAATAGAACAGCTGCGAGAGAATTCAACATTAATGAATCAATGTTACGGAAGTGGAGGAAGGACGGTTTTTGGCTTTCCTCATATTCCAAAACGTTCTTCGTCTCTTCGCTATTGCTGTCGCCCGGCATAATTTGCAGATGATATTTTTCTGTTTAATCTCCTAGGACCTGGCATCCACATACTGTATGTTGACATCACATTTTGTGTTGTCTAGACCACAATAAATTTTGCTCTACAACCACCTGATATCCACTTACAAGGACATTATACTGCCACTGTTCTATCGAAATTTAAAACGAATGTCCTCATATGTGGATATCAGGCCCTTGTAGAGCAAAATAAGGTAAAAAGATAATTCTTTATTTTTACATTCATCAGGTCCCAATCAGCCCAAATAGCAAAGAGAAATTAAAAATGCATGCCATGAAAGAGTTTGGGTCTCAGGAGATTAACATCCAACTGCTTAAACCCAAACCAGGTGCATATTACCAACGTCACAGCGGTTTTCTTTATGAACACCTCCTCCTCCCCATGCTTGCAGCCGCTGCGATGCTTTCGACCAAACAGGATCAGCTTGATGACACATTGATCAACATGGGCTATCGCGTTAGGGTGGTATAGTCAAAATCTCTACCATTGGCCAAATTCATATTGTTTCTACCGCATACCGTTTATATCGCCCACCCCTACACACACCCACACTGTAGGAGGTGCTAACCTTAAAGCTTAACTATGGTCATTTCCTTGTCCATTACCAGGTTCACAGAAGAATCTAGTAAGTCCATCACAGGCTCACTCAGATTACAACCTTGATTACAGACTTGCACATGTTTTCAGATTTGAGGCTCAGCAGGAGGAAAGCAGGAGTCTCTGAGCAGCAGCCCAGAGATTCAAAAACCTCATCCTCGCTGCTTTGAGCAAAATCAGAACCAACCTGTTAGCTGGGGAGACGGGCAAGAGGAAACAGGAAGTGAAATCCATGCTGGCATCACTGAGCTTGCTATTTAAACCTGCTGTCAGTTCCTGATATGCAGTCACAGTCTGAGTTACACAAATGTTTTCTCTTCTGTTTCAGGGCTCCCTGAATGGGCTGCCGCACTCATCGGTGGTTTTATTGTTGTCGTTTTTGTTGTTGCTGTTGGTGTTGTGCTTAAGGTTAAAGGCTACAGTTTGAAGAAAGGTGAGTTTTACTAATGTACTATTTTAACATTCATCATTTATTGCCAGGGATATCACAACTTTTTTTTTATAACTCCCTCATATTAGGTCTTATCCTTTGATTTCTGTTGAAGAAGATAAATACTTTATTTGTATTAACTCAGTGTGTGACCAGTGTAGTTGTGTTTCTTGAATATTGTCATTTCCTTCGTGCAGATTCACAAAGAATGGAAAATGGCCCCTCCTCAGAGCTGGAGAGAAATCTCACCTCTGAACAACCTTAAAAACTGTGAAGTAGTGGTCTTTTTAACCAGTTTTTTTATTTTTTTTTTATTTAATCAAGACAGGAAAACAAGTTGGCGCTTTTATTTGTATTTATAATCTTAATAGGTTGTATTTTGTTTTTTTCATTGTACTGAATTACTGATTTATCTCACAGGCCTCAATATCTGGTTATAATATGGACATTGCATGTTTTATGTTATTTTCAGTCTTAAAATCACTGTCGAGTGATGAGAACATTGTAACCGTCCATCCATCCATCCGCTTATTCTTTTTCAGGGTCGCGGGGGATGCTGGAGCCTATCCCAGTTATCATAGGGTGAGAAGCAAGGTACACCCTGTCGCAGGGCTAACACACAGAGACAAACAAGCATTTACACTCACATTCCCACTAACTGCATGTCTTTGGACTGTGGGTGGAAGCCAGAGTACCCGGAGAGAACTCCACACAGAAAGACCCCGGCCTGAGGGCAGAATTGAACTCAGAGCCTTCTTGCTGTAATCGTCCCCATGTTAATATATGCAGTGCACATGTTTCCATCATTGAAACCTTAGTTTGATCATTTACTGATCATCTCAGTGTTTCCTCCTTTGCTGCAGTTTCATGGCTCCTCCTCCTGACTCCTTTCTCATTTTCAGTACAAATCTGCATTTGAAAGATTTTCTAATGACATGAAGATGTTTCAAGAAATCCTCTTTTAAATGCACCCAAGACAGTATAAGGTTTTATTTTAGTTGCCTAACTTTAAGCTTACAGTAATCAAAACTTGCTTCCAAACATGACTTTAACAGTAATTATACTGTCTTGCTGAGATATTGTTAGAATAATATATTTTGACTTTTTCATGTCATCATGATATCTGTTCTTACATAAAAGTGTGCAGCTTTATAAGTAATTTGCTGACCAAACTTTCTCTGACATTCATGTTTTTAATGAGGACAGTGATGGTTTTTTTTCATCATAATAGATTAAGATAATTGTAACTCGTACAGAATTTGATGAATAATGAGAAATGCAAAATTAAAATTACCCAAGATAAAAAGGACCCTTAATGTTATGACTGGAGAGAACTTAAAATATCAGTTTTGTCAGTCAAAAGCTGTCATACAGATGGTGAAAAATCTAAACTTCTCGACTCATATTTAACTCAGGTTATTTAAACTTGTACTCATGGAATACTTGATTAAACTGAACCCTCAGCGCTTCTCATGTAAATCAATGTGAATATTTTGCAGATATAAAAATATTTTTGTTTGCCAAGATACACTTGTGCTCTAGTATGTAGTTGTTGGCTCATTTGATATGTTTTTATTCTTTTACAAGTTATATTTATGCTGTTAATTGTTGGTGTATTTTTTTTTATTTTTATATTCATGCCATTTCAGAGAAAGTCTGAATAAGAGATGAAACAAACTATTGTGTCTACTATTGTTTTTGGTGTATGTGTTTCTTTAAATATTCATAAAGAGAGGAAATATATTAATGTATCAGTCAAATTCGAAAATTATTCTTATTTTGAAGCAGTTGTGCTTTGATATAAGACATTTCGAGGCCAGGAAACCTTTTTTATAAAACATATAAATCCAGGACTCTTGTCCTCTATTCACTGATTTCATCCACAAAATAATATCTGGTGTATGTAGTGCCTCTAGTCAGGACCAGTACAATATCGATTTCAATAGAGATAATAGACATCTTGGTAGGTTTGGAAGGTGGTTTGGATTTAGAGATTTACAAAAGGGGTTGTCTCGAAAGTGAACAACTGGGATCTTTATTGCCTCTGTACAACTTGTCAACAAAAACAGTCACAGTCAACAAGTTTCCATACAAATAGTGTTTTTTCTCCTGGGAGAGGGGGGGGTCAATAGCAAAATAAAAAAAGAAACTGAAATGAGAACAGTTGTATTGAATTGTATTGGAACTCCATTAAATAAATAAAACAAATTAATGTCATCCCATGTTCACTGAGACCCAAACAGCACTACTGTAAGGAGGTGTCAGTATGCAGACCCTATTGTCTACTACCGACTACCTGGGTAGGACTAATAGAGCGTAGTGTTTGTGTGAAGTCCAAGACACAGCTTGCCTCAGTTCTTCTCCATAATCCGCTCACATTGCTGGCCACACCATTTCACAATCATACAGAATCTAATTTGGGCTGGGTTCTCCAGAATCCTTTCAAGCTGTTTCTTTTTTATATTTTGTTTTTAAAAATGAGCTCATTAACCTCTTTTCCTCCAAAAAGATCAAATATTAACCATCATGTATATCCAAATATTTCAGGTTATACCTTTTGTAGTGGCGATTACTTGACCAACCAAACATCCAACAATTAAGTCTGATTTTGCCTTTCAAAGTAATGGCCATTGAATTTGCCCATATATGATCTACTCTTTTAAAAGCTTCAGAATGCTCTGAGAAGAAAAAATCTTTTTTCCAAAAGATAGTTTCACTCTAGATCAACAGTATCCCCTTTTTTGTGCCTGTCCTGTTTGGTTCAGTAGCCATCAGAATTATTGTCTGAAGGCCAAGAAAGATGCCCATCTGATATAGTGGATCATCACGGCCTTGCCGTATTGGTTTATTAATTTACCTTTGTTGTTATTATTATTTATTTTATTTTATTTTCAGTTGTTAAATATGGGACAGACTTGGCTGGGGGATAGGAAAGGGAGGAAGAAAGAGAGGAAGGGGAAGAAAAACAGAGGGGAAGAGGTGACAGTGAGAAAGGGAACTTTCTCAAAGAAAGACAAAGAGAAAACAAGCAAAAAAGAGCAACATAATAACATAACATAATTTCCTTTTTAAGCCCTGAATTCTGAATTTATTGAAAGAGTAGTTCAAAAATAAAAATTCAGAAGGCTTTTATGTTGAAATACAAAAGAAGATGGCTCTAATATTGACATGCTAGTAGAATACAAGGGTGTGTCATTTGGTTCCAACATTAGTGTGTAAACAAGACTAAATGATATTTTTTATTGTGTACTTAATTCACTCGAAGTTAGCTTTTATTTTGAAAGTAGGTTTCGAATGCTTTTATTTTGAAATCTTGTTTCCACACAGGGAATGTAAAATAAAGTGGAGGCTGGCTTGACTGCAATTCTCAAATTGGAGGTTGGCTCGACACAAGTTGCCTTACTGGAAGAATACATTCAAACCTCGGAGTGGTTCCTAAACATTAGATCCTACTGAGACAAAATGGGTAAAAACGATCAGAAGCTGAGCTGTGAATGGAGAACACGTGAAGACCGCATGGACGTGAGTAATTTCAAGATAAAGTCCCAAAGTGCTTCACAGAAGCAGGAACGGACATACAACCTGAAACAAACTAAATCAACCAAAAGCAGGTTTAAAAAGATGGGTTTTTCACTGTTTTTTAAAAGAAATAACTGAGTCCACAGATCTCAAACTTGAAGGGAGCGAGTCTGGGAGCCACTGATACGAATGCTCTGTCACCTTATGTTTTTAACCTTGTATGCTGGACAACAAGCAAGCCCTGGTCACAAGACCTCAGGGCATAAGTCTACATTCTTATTGATCCTTTTTATTCATTGTTTCAAACCGTTTTTGACGAAAACATCCCGAGTGCTGAGTACCGGGTTCCGAAGTTAGACGTGGATATGAATGAAGTGCTTTAGAAGTAATAAAATGATGGTATTTTGTGTTAAAGTGGTTAAAATAATACACAATCGTGATGGCTTAAGGCTTTTTTTAACCTATCTCACTGGGTCGTTTCTAGACAGGCATATATGAGGGACAGACAGAAATGTAAAGGAGAGGCGGGAAAGTGGTGGGGTGCTCTGAATAACTGTCTTGATGCATGCTCAATCATCCAGGTAAGTAAATCTCCAAAAGTTGATTCTGTTCATCTGGACGTAGCGTTTTCACTGGAACTGACCTCCCAGTCCATTGTTCCTTCAGTGGGCTGGTTTCAGTCATTATGCAAATGTACTGTTTATAAGACTGGGGAAACCTGGAGCCAGCTGAGACTGAATAAGTCACTTGGATGAGTGACGAAACGTTTCTCCCATTGAAAACGCTTCGTCCAGATGAACAGAATCAACTTTTGGGAGACTCTGAATAACTGCTTTGCCTGTAATTGGATTACGCTTTGTCAGGCCTCTACCTCAAGAACGGACCAACTTGGCCCATCTGAAGGCTTCTGTTGGTCTAGCTCTTAGGGACACTGAGCCACGCAAACCCCCTGACCACGTTAAGGTGGTAATTCTTCAGGTTAAAACTGAAAGATGAAATAACATAAAATAAAATAGTCCTCATCCGATTAATAAAAACTAAAAACATGACATTTACCTTAATTTGATGGCCTATATTAAATATATTCGAACCCAGCAATAACACTATTGCCAATATTGACAAAACTAAAAAGGGTAGGCCAAGTTTTTAAAAATAAAATTCAATTCACTAGGTCTTGAAAAAAAAACTGAAAAATAGAATAAAAAGATAAAAAATATTCATCCTGAGCTTTACAACCAACAACATAAAATTCATCTTAATTGGATGGCATAATTCAAATAAATTTTCAAAATAAAGTAGGAATAAAACAAGACCTCTCAATATAGCCAGTATTTACAAAACTAAAAAGTGTTGGTATAGTTTTTTTTTTTTAAATTCACCATGTCTCCTACTACAGTGCTCAAACCACTGTGTAGAACGCAACTTTTGAACTTCTTATTTTTTTGTCTTGTTTCAAGCTTGTTTGTTTCGCAAGGAACTGAACTCTGTTTCCAACTGAACAGCTCCACTGTCCTTACTCCTCAATCCACTCTACAACAACAATCTCCTGTTTCTCTTTCCAAAAATTCATACAAATTCCTTCAATCAAAGTTATTTGTTATGGACTTGTCATGGGCCAAAGTCACCAAATTCCTCTTTCTTTTATGTAACATGGTGCGACCATAGGGGGTTAGGATCTATGACACAGCATTAACTTTCCCTTTGTGAGCTGCTGGAAGCTGGGGTGAAAAGTGAATAAGCTTTACTAAAGTAACTGAGATTACATCAGTATATGAAACGATGAAACTGTTGGGTGCAGAATTGAAAGCTGGGCGGGGCTGTCGTGGTCCTTCAGTCGGCTCTGCATCAGCCAGGCTCAAAGAAAGAAACACTTCTCTACCAGACTGAAATTGTGAGACGAACAATGGACTAGTCCCCCACTGACTGTACAAATATAGTAGTATTTTTTTTAGCTGTTAATTATCTTACGAGTCGCTATGACTTTGACGACAGAATCACTTTACTGATTCATTCACTGACTTATCCCTGTTACTGTTAGCAAACTAATTTCATTAGTAGAAACAAGAGCCAGTTTATTAACAAAAAATTTCTGCTCTGTATTGGAAGAAAAAACCCTGAGTGGTGGTTGTTATTGTTTTTTTGTTTATTGGTTTTGTTTTGTTTTTTAAATTGGGTATGAGGAGGGTGTTCGGTCCACACTCCAAGCCAGTTAGTGGCGCTAATGCAGCACATTGTTGTTGTTTTTTTCCTACCTTCCAGGTGCCATTGCTTTCACCAGAAGCTGTAGTACGAATTCGTTTTTGGGTTTTTTTTTATGTTTAGTTTATATTTAATAACGTCGCCTCAAAGTTGGACCTTTACATAAGTGTGTGTGAGCTCCTTATGTTGTGCTTTTTTAAATCAGTTGTTTTTTTGTTGTTGTTTTTTTACTGTAGTTAACGTGAAAGCTAACCCGGTAGATATTAGCAATAATAATATCAAGGCAGGAGGGGGAGGCCTTGCTTACTTACAAAAACGTGTATAACCGAGGTTTTATTAGCATTTAGTGCCATCGGCTGCTGAAAGCCTTTACAAGATTGACTTGTAGTGCCGTGTTGGGCTACTTTACAGGGCTTTCATATTGCAATTCATTGGCTGTAAGGTTAGCTGTCTCCATCGTTAGCTTGTAGCATACTTGGCGCACGTCTATCTCACCATGTTTTGTTTCTGTGGATTGAAAGCACACTTTCTGTGTTTTCTTGCCCTGGTTTTTGGAACATCAGGACATGAGAACGGTAAGAAAGATCATTGCTTATTATGTAGATTGCATTTATAACATTAAAGCGTGCCAATGAGCAGAAGTTCCAAAAGTACAGAGTTGAAGTACTGATTCGACTTCTTTATTCGAGTAAAAGTAAAAAGGAAAAATTAAAAAAACTAAAATAAGCAAAGGCACTGAAATTTACTCAAAGTAAGAAGGTAAAGGTAGCTATTTTTATGCAAAACTTAATGTGCCTTGTTCTATATTAATGGAATAATGGAATCATATTGGAAGTTCAGAATAAGAACTTAGTTACATTTTAATTCTAATTGTACACAGGTTAAATCATGGGTTCAGTCCATACATTGGTTGTAATGGCTCAGTGTGGGGGAAAGGATCATAACTAACAATAATTTTTATGGAGAGCTCCAGTAGATTTTCTTAGTGTACAGGCTGTGATCAGCTGACCTGCTGCTCCTTGTTAATGTACACAGCTTAATTCAGCCAGATGTTAGCAGATGTTTCATGAGTTGTCCTGGCTGATTTGTATCCTCACTGACAGTACACTGTTTATGTTGTCTTTATATTAGACACTATGAAGTTAGTATGAAGGTGGAATTCAGTGAAAGAATCTCAGCACCCAGACCCAGTTAAAATTCATGTGAATCTCTGCTACACTTTATGTAAGACAAATGTGACTATGAACCACAGCCACTGTGCAGCAATCCCACACTGTTCTTTACTTTAGATCCATCACAGTGCAGCAAACTAACCTGTTTATCCTGCACTAACCTGCAGAGTAGGGCTGGGCGATATGGCCTAAAATCAATATCATGAAAAATTGAGCAGTTAACCTCGATAACGATAAATGGACGATAACCACCCCAAGTGCCAAAAAAACAAACTTTTTTTTTTTTTTTCTCATTTGATGGGGCTGTGGCAGGCAGCATAGTTCCTCCAGTTATTTTGATAATATTATTCCCCCTAGACCTATTCATTGCAATTATATTATTACCACTTTAAAGGTAAAATGTGTGAAGTGATGTAAAATAATAATTTCCTGCAAATGCAGTAACAAGCCTGTTTTGAATATGAAAGCAGTAGAAAGTAGGTATTTGTTTAAAAATGTAGGGAGTAAAAGTAAAAAGTAGTCAGTAAAGAAAACTATTCAAAGTACACTACTACTACTACTACTGCCTTTCACCTGAGGGTGAAAGGCCGCCAAAGGTAGATTTGTACTTTGTTACTTCCCACCTCTGCTAATGAGACAGTGTGTCTAACATGAAGTATTATTGCTGGAAGACTTTTGTCCGTATGACATGATTGCATCACACAGTTTCTGCAGATTTATCAGCTGCATCTGTGATGGGAATTTTTAATCCACCACATCCCGTCCACGCTTCTGATTATTAACCCTTTCACGCATAGTGGTCACTACAGTGGACAGCCATTCAAAGGCTATTTTCTTGTATATGTGTCAGTGTTGATGGTATACTTGCACATAGGGCTGTGCAATATGACCAGAATTTCATATCCCGATATAAGACATTTATCGTCCCGACAACGGGGACCACCGTTACCTTCACCCTCCACATCCTCTCGAGCTCTTCTCTGAGCCCTTGGTATTTCTCCAGCTTCTCGTGTTCCTTCTTCCTGATATTGCTGTCATTCGGAACCGCTACATCGATCACTACAGCCGTCTGCTTCTGTTTGTCTACCACCACTATGTCCGGTTGGTTAGCCACCACCATTTTGTCCGTCTGTATCTGGAAGTCCCACAGGATCTTAGCTCGGTCATTCTCCACCACCCTTGGGGGCATCTCCCATTTTGACCTCGGGACTTCCAGGTTATACTCGGCACAGATGTTCCTGTACACTATGCCGGCCACTTGGTTATGGCGTTCCATGTATGCCTTGCCTGCTAGCATCTTGCACCCTGCTGTTATGTGCTGGATTGTCTCTGGGGCATCTTTACACAGCCTGCACCTGGGGTCTTGCCTGGTGTGATAGACCCCAGCCTCTATGGATCTTGTACTCAGAGCTTGTTCTTGTGCTGCCATGATTAGTGCCTCTGTGCTGTCTTTCAGTCCAGCTTTGTCCAGCCACTGGTAGGATTTCTGGATATCAGCCACCTCCTCTATCTGCCGGTGGTACATACCGTGCAGGGGCCTGTCCTTCCATGATGGTTCCTCTTCTCTCTCCTCTTTCTTGGGTTTCTGCTGCCTGAGGTATTCACTGAGCACTTGGTCAGTTGGGGCCATCTTCCCAATGTATTCTTGGATGTTCGTTGTCTCATCCTGGACTGTGGTGCAGACACTCACCAGTCCCCGGCCCCCTTCCTTCCGCTTAGCGTACAGCCTCAGGGTGCTGGACTTGGGGTGAAACCCTCCATGCATGGTAAGGAGCTTTCTTGTCTTTATGTCAGTGGCTTCTATCTCCTCCTTTGGCCAGCCTATTACCCCAGCAGGGTACCTGATCACGGGCAGGGTGTAGGTGTTGATGGCCCGGATCTTGTTCTTACCATTCAGCTGACTCCTCAGGACTTGCCTGACCCTCCGCAGGTACTTGGTGGTTGCAGCCTTTCTAGCGGCCTCTTCATGGTTCCCATTCGCCTGCGGGATCCCCAGGTACTTGTAACTGTCCTCTATGTCTGCAATGTTGCCTTCTGGTAGTTCAATCCCCTCAGTTCTGACTACCTTCCCTCTCTTTGTTACCATCCGACTACACTTCTCCAGTCCGAACGACATTCCAATGTCATTGCTGTATAGCCTGGTAGTGTGGATCAGTGAATCAATGTCTCGTTCACTCTTGGCATACAGCTTGATGTCATCCATGTACAGGAGGTGGCTGACAACTGCTCCGTTCCGTAGTCGGTATCCGTAGCCAGTCTTGTTAATGATCTCACTGAGGGGGTTCAGGCCTATGCAGAACAGCAGTGGGGACAGAGCATCTCCTTGGTAGATCCCGCACTTGATGGTGACTTGTGCTATGGGCTTGGAGTTGGCCTCTAGTGTTGTACGCCACATCCCCATTGAGTTCCTGATGAAGGCTCTTAGGGTCCCATTGATCTTGTACAATTCTAAGCATTCCAGTATCCAGCTGTGGGGCATTGAGTCATAGGCCTTCTTGTAATCAATCCAGGCAGTGCACAGGTTGGTCAGTCTGGTCTTGCAGTCTCGGCTGACTGTTCTGTCTACCAGTAGCTGGTGTTTTGCGCCTCTGGTATTCTTGCCAATTCCTTTCTGTGTCCCACTCATGTATTGACCCATGTGCCTGTTCATCTTAGCCGATATGATGCCTGACAGGAGCTTCCATGTAGTACTGAGGCAGGTTATTGGTCGGTAGTTGGAGGGGACCGGTCCCTTCTGGGGGTCCTTGGGGATCAGGACCGTCTGACCTTCAGTTAGCCATTCCGGGTGTCTCTCGTTAACTAGCAGCTGGTTCATTTGTGCTGCCAGACGCTCGTGGAGCTGACTGCTATGCACATATAGCTGGAGTCCACACAAGGAGCATGGGACAATTAAATATTATCAGAAGAGAATGTTGCAAGCACTAGAAGCTAGGTGTCTTGGTTCTTGTGTTGTTGTTTGTGCTGTGCTTTATTATTTAGCTGCATTGGCTTCATGCAGGCCCACTGTGCTTGGATGTAAAAGCTGCTTTCTGCTCTTCTCCTTCCACTCCTGTGTGTCCTGATTTTTGACACCCGCCTCCTGAATTAGAGTTGATTAGCTGCAGAATGAATCCTCTTCCTTTTCTCGTTTACAAACTTCTTTCTGTCTTGTTTCACAACTGTGTGTTAGTGTCATGGGGGAGAAATGATCGGTACACTATTTAGTGACCCAGGGCCAAATCTACACAGTGACACACGCTAAGCATTTAGTCTAAAATATCTAAAGATCTAAATCTTCTAACGATAGTTGATTTATGTGCCTTTTAGTGTAAATACGCTTATTTAGGAGTTTAAAATCGAAATACATTTGAACAGTAAAGTGGGAGGTAAACTGGGGATTCTGGGTAATTTAGGAAGCATAGCATGTATGTAATCTGTTGCATTTCCTGTTTAAACACTGATATAAATCTGCTTCTTCCTCAGGGCCAGAAGTCGTCACAGTGGTTGTATCAGAAGGAAGTGACGCATTCTTGCCCTGCTCCGTCAGCACCAGCCTTGTACAGGAGCTCTTTGACTGGAGAAAGGATCAGAATAAACAGGATGTATTCATGTATGAAAACTACAGTCATTACAACAACGGCCTTATAGGTCAACACGACCAGTTCAAAGGACGGGTCTCACATTTTCAACAACAGCTGCAGTTCGGTAACGCCTCGATTGTGATCAGAAACACCACGATCAGCGACGGTGGAAACTACACCTGTCACTTTCCAAATCTGGAGCCAGAACAAATATTCAGCATTAAACTTGTTGTTCGTAAGTATTGTTTTTCCTTCTTCTTTTTAAGAATCCTAAAATAAATGAAACTGAAGAACATGCCTCCTACCTCTCAAATTATCTATTTGCTACTTAGACCCAGTGGCTTTTAAAAGCAGATTATATGATTAGATTTGCATATAGTTTTTGCATTGGAAAAAACATTTTGCCGGCACTGTAAGAATGAGAAGTTATTGTTTGTAATACTACATTTTTATTCTTTCTTTCAGGATACAGTTTAAAAGACAGAAGAAGAGAAAATGCACGTGAGTGATGTTACTGGTGTCTACACCTGTTTGTGCTGCAACTCTGTAGGCCTCACCCAAAAAGAATATATTTTCATGTTAAATTTCTTTCTTTCACATTGGGGGAAAAAAAAACGTTTAAAAGATTCAGCGCCAACGTTTAACATAAAGCGCCCACAGTTAACACATTTACACCCTTATTCTTTCAGGGTTAACAGGAATTTTTGAAATACAGCATTTGCTCCATGTCTTGTAGTTTGTGACCTTGCAAACCTGCTACATGCATAAAAGTCTGTTTAACAGATAAAAGGCTAGGGTTAATGAGATATCAGTAAGATCTGTGTTGCTCTGTCATGTTAAGACCTAACCATGATGTCACTGATCTCTACGTCTGCACTCTTTACGAGCCAAATCAGATTATTTTTCGGGCACATGATCCAAGTTTGATACAAATTCTCTGTTGAAGAGACGTTTTTGAGCTGTTGAGCTGTACATTAATAATACCAAAGAAATGAAGCCATGCTTTAAAGTTACAGCAGCGCAAACAGTGTAAATTGCATGATCACAGGAATCGCATGTATTTAGCTAGTGATGCAGAAAATGCATAAATATCTATTGTAACAGATTGATCCCAGACTGCTATCAGATTTGATTAACATAGCTGAAACTCCAGCAAGTCAAACAGATCTGTCAAGCGTAAATTAAGTCATTAAATGTAACTTTGCTCTAGCCTTAAACTAAAGTGATTTCTACTTGCCCTTCACCAGACTGTAGAATATTGTCAGACCTGAAAAACCGAGGTAACCTCTAAAGTTTAGAGCTTCAGAGCTCTAACACGCACCTGCCAGGTTAGAAATAAACAACAGTTAAATGTGCTAAAATGCATGACTTCATAAAATTCTCTCAACAACAGAGGAAAGCAAATTAACAAATAAAATTCTTGACCACTGTCATACCTGTTATGTCTGACTGGTTTTCTTGAGGCTGACACTAAGAATACCTGTCTTTGTCAAAGTTATTTCTTAGTATAAACCTCAAATCACCACATCACATTTTAGAAATAATCAGTGCGTATGTCCTTGAGAGTTTATAAACAGAGTTGTAGCACTCATTGCAGATGTAGAAATCAATGACATCATCAATCATTTTCTCTCCACTCATCCACTGACTGAATGATTAATGTACATCATAGGTGTCAAACTCTGGCCCGCGGGCCAAATTTGGCCCGCAGCCTAATTACATTTGGCCCG